GAGTTTCTAGATAGAACAGAAAAAGCATATTTCACGGGGAAAAACATGGGTTGGATATTATTAAAAATAAAATCTACTCTGTGAAAGAAATTTTTAAGAAAATGAAAGGATAAGGCACAGACAGAAAATATTTGGAACACATATATCTAATAAAGGCTTTGTGTCCAAAAAACACAAGAGTTCTTAAAGCTTCAATAATAAGAAAACAAATGACCAAATGAAAAATATGCAAAAGATTTGAACAAACATTTCACCAAAGATATAAGGACAGCAAATAAATACATTAACAGATAGATGCTCAACATCACCTCAGTGGGAATATGCAGACAACATGACACAGTTATTGGAATGGTTACATCAAAAATAATGACAATACCAATTTCAGGTCCAGAATCAGAACAACAAGATTCTGATTCATAGTTGGTAGGAACAAAAACTGGTACAGCAACTTTGTAAAAATAGTTTGGCAATTTCTTGCAAAGCTAAACATATATACATACATACATACATACATAACCAACACAGCAATTTCACACCCTCTGTTTCTGAAAACTTATGTTTTAAAACCTACATGTGAATATTTCTAGCACCTTAATTCAAATGGTCCCAAACTGGGAGAATCAAGCATGTGCATTCTGGAATTGAACTATCAAATAAATGAAATTCAGATGTTAGCTGGATTCTCATTGTTAGCGCAGGAGATTACAGACAAGAAAGAAGAGAAGGTTGGAATGTTCTACCTGGTAATGATTACAAGAGGAGACAACAGTGTGAATACTTAGCTTACTATAGAAATAGATGGTTACATACTAAAATATTTATAGACACATGTATATACATGAGTGAGTATACACATATTTCCTGTTCAGTTAGCTGAGAGGGTCTTTGAGCAATAACTTAATAGTCACAACAGACACACCTAGTCCCTCAATCTTGGTTTCTCATACTATGCTCCAATGAAAAAAACCAGAACTACTTAAGGGGGGAAAAATGGCTAATTCTAGGGCAAGAAAGGCATAAGATAAACCTGGAAAGTCTACTGCCACAGAGTAAGGAAGAAGTATTCAAACAGGAACAGGGTATGTCAAAAGACACAGGAACCAACAGAAGGTGCTTTTTAAAAAATTTATTTACTTGTTTTTGAGAGAATAGGAAAAGGAGAGAAAGCATAAGCAGCAGGGAGGAGCACAGGGAGAGAGAGAGAATTTCTATTTATTTATTTATTTACTTACTTACTTACTTACTTACTTATTTATTTGACAGACAGAGATTACAAGTAGGCAGAGAGGCAGGCAGAGAGAGGGCGGGAAGCAGGCTCCCTGCTGAGCAGAGAGCCCGATGTGGGGCTCGATCCCAGGACCCCGGGATCACGACCTGAGCCGAAGGCAGAGGTTTTAACCCACTGAGCCACCCAGGCACCCCGAGAGAGAGAATTTCAAGCAGGCCCCACACCCAGCAAAGAGCCCAACGTGGGGCTGGAGCCCAGGACCCTGAGATCATGACCTGAGCCGAAATCAAGAGTCGGACACTCAACCAACTCAGCCACCCAGGCGACCCTAGAAGATGCTTTTACTAACCAACCTGGAACAACTTGAGCAAAAAAAGGAACAAGGTATCATTGTACTATAACCAAAATATAAAATAACTAGCCATGAATTCATGCTGATATAAATGGATTAGTAAATAGGAGAGAACAGAAAAATCTCCTATGCAGAATTCCCGATAATTTATGTACATAATTATGTAGATACTCCAACAGGAAGGAGGTATAGTGTAAGTGTATAGTGTAATTGCCCACTTCCTTCCAAGGAGTACAGTATGAAGACAGAGAAAACAATGTAGTAAGTCATGTCCGGAGCACTTACCCTTGATATGATAAGACCAAATGACATTTTATCTCTGTGGTCTTCCTCCAAGAAACCCATAACCTCAGTCTAATCATGAAAACAACAGCAGACAATTCCCAATTGAGGGACATTCTACAAAACACCTAACTGTACTTCTCAGAACTGCCAAGGTTATCAAAAACAAGGTAAGTCTGAGAAATTGTCACAGCCAAGGGGAACCTAAAGAAATGACTAAGTGGGGTGCCTGGGTGGCTCAGTGGGTTAAGCCGCTGCCTTCGGCTCAGGTCATGATCTCAGAGTCCTGGGATCGAATCCCGCATCGGGCTCTCTGCTCAGCAGGGAGCTGCTTCCCTCTCTCTCTCTCTCTGCCTGCCTCACCATCTACTTGTGATCTCTCTCTGTCAAATAAATAAATAAAATCTTTAAAAATAAATAAATAAATAAAGAAAGAAAGAAAGAAAGAAAAAGAAAGAAATGACTAAGTGAAATGTGGTATTCTGAAACAGAATACCTGCATGGGGGAAAACACCAGGGTCAACTATCAAAAGACAAATCACATCCCATAAAATAATAGTTTGCAACCCATAAAATGGACAAGCACTAGTATCCCTAATATATAAAGAGCTAGACACTGAAGAAGAAGAAGAAAAAAAAAAGCCAAAAACCTAAGAGCAAAATGGGCAAAAGATATGAACAGAGGGTTCACAGAAATGTAAATACATCTTTCAGATTCATGAAAAAATACTTAACCTCACTCATAGTTAAGAAAATTGCAGATATAAACTTCATAAAATACCATGTTTATCTGTCCACTGCCAAAATTCCAGAAGTTGAACCACATGTTCTATGGGAGAAGCTGTGGACAAACAAGCACTCATGCGGTGTTGATGGGAGTGACACAAAATGATACCATAATCCCGAACGATCAAGTTATCAATTATATGCACCCTTTGACCTGGCAGCGCACTTCTAGGAATTTATCGGATAGAAAAAACCTATATGTACAAGGTCATTCATTAGAACATGGTTTGTACCATAAGTGACTCTCAATCTCACAAAACAAACAGAGGGTTGCTGGGGGGAGGCGGGGTTAGGGAGGGTGGGGTTATGGACATTGGGGAGGGTATGTGCTATGGTGAGTGCTGTGAAGTGTGTAAACCTGGCGATTCACAGACCTGTACCCCTGGGGATAAAAATACATTATATGTTTATAAAAAATAAAAATAAATAAAAATTAAATTAAATTAAAAAGAAAAGAACATGGCAAAAGGTTTGAAATAGTGCATAACTAATAATAACCAGTTAACTAACTATGGAACGTCCATGCTTGAATTACTGTGCAGTTATAACAAAGAAACAATCCATGTTCTGTTTAGAGAAAGATGTCTGGGACGGGCTTTTAAAAAGTGACAAAAAAGCAAAGAAAGAACAGAAAATCATGTATAGACTCGTTACTCAAAGTGTGGCTCCCTGAGCGGCAGAGTCAGCTTCACCTGGGAGCTTTTTAGAAATGCAAAACCCAGGGCCCCCACCAGATCCACTAAATCAACATCTGCATTTTAACAGGATGCCAGTGGTGTACAGCTGCATCTAAGTTCGGAAAGCCCTAAAGATGATGGATTCCCTTCTAAATACAAGTAGGGGGCATACAAGAGTATCTTTTAAATGAAAAAAGAAGCACTGGTAGGACAAACAAGACAGACAGATATCTACAGCAGGATGACCATAACTCCAGTTTGTCTGGGACTGTCCCCATATAGCCAGTTGTCCCATCATAACTTTATGGAACCTCTTTCATTCTCAGCAGAAGTGTCTCAGTTGAGATGAAAAATGTCACCCTTCCTAGAAGGAACATCACTTAACCTTTTAACCATGTTATTACTAATTCAAAAATATTTTATTAAAAAGAGAGAGAGAGAGACGACCAGTCAGGAAAAAAAAGACTGAAAAAAAGCAGTGAGCCAAGGATGGTTGAGCAACAAACCCAAGGAGAGGCAACGTCTGGGGCAAAAGGGAAAGACAACTTTGTGAGGAACAATAAGGGGATGTATCAGAGTTAAGAAAGGAAAACTAGCAGGGAGGTGTCAGAGACAACAGAGACTGAGGATTATGCTGCAGGATGGTCAAGTAAGACAAAGCCAAAAACTGGATTTGACTACAATTTGGTAGCCTTTTCCAGAGCTGACTCAGGTGAATGCTGAAGAAGCAAGAATGCATTCATGAAGTTGAAATGTGAATGAGAAATGCAGAAACCAAAGCCAGAACAGTCGGCTATTCAAGCTAGAAATATGAACAAGCTGACACAAACACTTAGGGAGAGTTATCTGGAGGACGCGTGGTCCCTCCATTCCACCAGATCTTCGAAGTCATATTCCTGGATCAAGCAGGACCATGAGAGAGCTGTCTACTCAAACCTCATTGTTCGGTCCCCTGAAAAGCATCCATACACTTCTAGCACAGTGCTGTGTCTATCAGAAATGATTACAGGCAATTTCAGTGCTGTTATTAGAAAAATCAAAGGAAGTTTTACAACTTGCACAACTCTGTAAAATTAAGAGTCCTGCTTCTCATTCTACCAACTGTTCTTTGAATTTGCTTGATATACTTGATATACTTCCCTTCACGTAATTCTTGCCTATTTCTATTTTTTCATTTTTTTTTTTTTTTAAGATTTTATTTATTCAGGGGCTCCTGGGTGGCTCAGTGGGTTAAAGCCTCTGCCTTTGGCTCGGGTCGTGATCCCGCGGTCCTGGGATTGAGCCCCGCGTCGGGCTCTCTGCTCAGCGGGGAGCCTGCTTCCTCCTCTCTCTCTGCCTGCTTCTCTGACTACTTGTGGTCCCTGTCTATCAAATAAATAAATAAAATCTTAAAAAAAAAGATTTTATTTATTCATTTGACAGAGAGAGAGATCACAAGTAGGCAGAGAGGCAGGCAGAGTGAAAGGGGAGAAGCAGGCTCCCCGCTGAGCAGAGAGCCCGACGCGGGGCTCAATCCCAGGACCGCGGGATCACGACCCGAGCCAAAGGCAGAGGCTTTAACCCACTGAGCCACCCAGGAGCCCCTCTATTTTTTTTGTTTTAAAAATATGAATCCTTTCAAATTTTAGAAAACTCATTTTAAAACAAAGTAGAAACAAACAAACAAAAAGCTCACCTGGGATCTGTTCATTTTCTGCTCTTAGTGAAGGAGGGAGAGCTAAGGAAGAAGGAAGGAAGAAGGAAGTTAGAAGAGACTTGGCCTGCCTTGCAGTTCCTGGATTTACCTGCCTACACAGCTCCACATATAAGATACTTACGTGTCCATGTGTGGCTCCGATATATGTTGAGCTTAGACATGATACTTTTCACTGAGTGAATGTAAACATTTGTTTCTTATTGATTTATTACCAATTTAGGTTCTGTGACACAGAAAAATTAAAAACATGAGAAGATGAGTTTAACATTTAACAGTAACCTAAAGGAGGAAACACTATGGCGTTTTCAGAACTGATGTGGGAAAAATTAAAAATTAAAAATCTCAAGCCACATTGTTAATCTATTTTCCTATTAACACTATTAATCCCCTGAGGTCAGAAAATCCAAGAAACCTCTGGAAAAAAGAGATGGGGGTGTTTAAGGCAAAATAAAAGATAAATGTTTAATGTTTGTTTCTTACAACTTTCAAAAGATCTTTTAATAAGAAACTATCTTTGACTTAATTAACAGTGACAAAATGAGCCATGGCCTGCGAATTTGCAGACCTGACTTTTAACCATGGTTCTGCCACCAACAAACTGCATGATCTTGGTCAGTCACCTTCTCAGACTCAAAAAAATTTTTTTTCATTTTTCAAATAAGGCCAAAACAGATAACCTCTCGCCTGCACTACCATCCTGTATGTCTGTAAAGCCAGGAGAGCAGGAACCTCTCCATCTTTCTAGATGCCATCAACAATGGCAAATGGGGAATGGAAAATGAGGGGAGTAGGGCGTGTTCAGGGAGAGGTGATGACAGAATTTCCTTCGCTATGGCTGGTGAGCCTTTCATTCCCGACCATGCCCTCACAAACTCTCCAAAGAGGTGACATTTCCTGTGTAGCCTGCGTGCCCACCCCTCTCAGCTCCAGCTCACCTCGCTCTTCTTAAATTTGTCCCAGACCTTCCACCGTCACACAGCCTTCGATGGCTTCAGGATACTGTCATGCTTATACATAACAAATAACAAATGAATACATAATAAGTAATAACTGGGGACCTGGGGAATGTTAGAGCCAGGAAAGGGCCTTGGTGGCTAGCTAGTACAGCCTCTTCCCTCTTCCATTGCACAAATGAGTTAACTGAGCAATGGAGGCCCTAGAGAATTGTCAAAGCTCCAGCCGCACGTTATTACATACACAACAAATACAACAGCAGCTAACAAAATGTGAGTGCTCAGAATAATCACGTCGACTATTCGGCCAGAGCAACTCACGCACATCAGACACCCTGCCTGGGTCTCCTACAACCGCGCCCCTCCTAGGAAGCCCGACGCACTTCAGACGCACACTCACACACGTCACAACGCCAAGCGCGCGCGCGCACGTCGCGCACGCGCACTCGCGCCTACCCGTAGCCCCACCCCCTCCCCGTGGGCCCGGCGCACACGTTACGCATGCGCACTCCCCACCCGCGGCCGCACGACGGGGCAGCCAGGTTAGCGCTGCAGCTGGACACCTGCGGGCCTTGCGAACCCGAGAGCCCACGTTCCCACTCTGGACCCTGGTCCCTCAGGCAGAGACGCCCCCGCTCGCCGTCCCTTTAACTCTGCAGGCGGCGCAGACGCCTGGGGTCCCTCCGATACCCGCGGGGCTCCGACCCACAACCGGGCACCCCCGCCCCCGCCGGACCCCCGGGCCGCGCAGGGCCCTCTCTGCCCTCGCCCCCATCCCCCGGGGCTCACCCGCAGCTCCCTCGCCGCGTGGACCCGGAAGCCAGGGAAGGTTTCCCACGAGGGGCTGGAGGCCGGGGAAGGACGAGCCGGGAGGAGAAGGCGGGGATGCACATGCGCAGAGGGAGGGAACGGCGCGGCAGCGGCGAGGAGCTGGAACTCCGCTCCTGGCCGCTTGTGCTGGGAAAGTGCCTCTACCCTTAGGAGGGATATCTCACCCCTAAGTCTTGAAAAGTAAGCTAATCGTACCGAGCTAGCAGGAATTTAGTGAAGAGTAGAGGCGTTTAGGATGTATATCTGGCACATAAATTATTCAGTACCTCTCTCAAGATTCTCTTCCCCGGTGTACACCATGTGCATTTCTTGAGAAACCAGGTGGAGAGTTTCTGCCGACTTGGCTGAGTTGAGAGATTACTATCTGAGATACTCACACCTGCTGCCTGGAGACAGGCTTTTGTCCTTGTCCTTCGACCTATGCATCAAATTTTAGACGCAAGCCGAGAGAAGGAAAGCTGTGTTTGGATTTCATCTGTGTACCTGCTATCTGTGACCAGCATGGTTATTCTCGAATGAGAAAAGCAGCAAGCTAGCAATTCGGTATTAATACTAAAAACCGTTCATGTGTAAAAAACTGTTCGTATACCAAACTTGAAGAAAGCACGCTTTCATCTCCTGCAACCTCCCATATACACTTCATGCAACGTCCCCCAATGTTAACATTTTACAGAGCCGTGGTACCTTTTATCAAAACCGAGAAAGCAACTCGGGTGCAATTGTATTAAGGAAATTACAGAGTTTATTTAGATTCCGTCAATTTTTCCACGAATGCCCTTTTACTGGTCCAGGATTCTGTCCAGATACCTCAAGACATTTAATCATCATGTCTGCTCCAACTTGTAAGTTTTTTGGTCTTTCCTTGTCTTTCATGGCATTCACATGATTGAAGAATAGTGGTTAGGTATTGTGAAAAGTGCCTCTGATGTTTTCTCCTTATTGGACTGAGGTATATATTTTTAGGAAGAATACCCTTGGAAGGATGTGCCCTACCTATGTATCAGGTGACACGTGATAGCAACATTTGTCATACTAACCTTTAGTACTTGGTTAAAGTGGTATCAGTGGGGTTTCTGCACTATATATTTAGGATTTTTCCATATCCAGTCTACACTTAAGAGTGGATTGGCTAAGTCTAGTGCACACCCAGGGACAGAGGAAATTCGCTCCATTTCGAATTTATGGTCATATATAGTAAATTTAAGGAGAAACTCTCTGAGCCTACCCAAGTATCCTGTTTATATTTAGAGTTTTGGCCACTAATTTTTGCTTTCATTGTTGGGTCTTGCCTGCAACCACTTTTACTGTGGTGTTCTAGAAGGAGATTTTTCTGTTTTACTTATATGTTTATTGGGATTCTTCTGTAAAGGAAAGATTTTCATTTTCCTCATTTATTTATTCCATCATTTGTTTATGTCAGTATGGGCTCATGGATAATCTACTTCATTCTCTGTGGTCGTTACTCAACCCCGTCTTTTTCACCCAACCCTTTGATCTGTTTTATGTTTTACAATTTTACCCTTTTCAGAATGTCAACTGCATTATATAATATGTATCTCCTGAGTTTGGCTTTTTTCACCTAGCAAAATTCATTTAAGACTCATTTATGTTAAAAAAAAAAAAAAAAGACTCATTCAAGTTGTTGGTCCTTTTCTCAGATCAGCTCCTTTCTCTCCACTCTTTTCATTTCATCCATGCTATTATTATGTTGCTCAAATTGTCCCAGCTTGGGCATTGAGAGCTATCATAGGTTAGCTTTTAGGTCCGTTTAACAAATCCTTATCATAGTTTCTAAAGGACTTCCTTACTTTTGATACGCAAGGTGCTCCAGGCTCCTTGTATTTTCTGTGTCCAAGCCCTGGAATCAGACATTTTTCCAAGGAGGCCTAGTTCCTTTTATTGGAGAAACCAAGATCTGAGCTCTAGGTGTGCTGATTGGTACTGGGTGAAACTTTCTAGATGCTGTCTGCCTACATATCTAAGAAATAGATGTATGTGTACCAGTCCATGCTAGTCATCTGCCTCACAGTATCCGTATTTCTAGATCGATCTGTATACATATAAATCTGTATACAGATGTGTTACATACACATGACTACATATTTGAAAATTAATGAGCTAACATTGATATCTTTTAGTCTAACTGAGGATTCATTCTAGCCTTCCCACCCACCCCTTGCTTATTTTTAACTTCATCCATACACTGAGATACCTGGTTATCATTATCTACAACATAAGTATTCTTTTTGACCTTGTGTACATGGAAAGTAGTTTCAGAACTGCTAACCCCTGTGAGAATTTACCAGCCAGAGTGTTCTTTTTGTTTTCAGTCTTAATGTATCCAGTCAAAATGTAGTTTTACGGAATTATTTAGGTCAGCTCCTTTTCCCCCCTTTTTAAAATTCAGGTTACGTGATACATACATTTGTAAAAACAGAGTCACTTGTCACAGTCTGCTTTTTATCTGTAAACTATTTGATTCTTTTTTTTTTAATTTAAATTGAGTTACATTCTGTCTTGGTGGTGTACAGCTCTGAGTTTCCACGAATGCATCACCCTGTACCATGCACAACAATCCTATTACTATAAAAATTCCCCTTGGGTGACCTGTTCTTACTCAACCCCTCCTTCCTCCCTTAGCCCCATCCACTGATTTGTTCTCTGTCCTATAATTTAACCTTTTCAAGAATGTCAAAATAGATTGATACAAAATGCAGTTTTTAGGTTTGGCTTCTTTCACTTAAGCAAAAGTCACTTAAGATTTTTCCTATGGTAGGGGCGCCTGGGTGGTACAGTGGTTTAAAGCCTCTGCCTTTGGCTCGGGTCATGATCCCAGGGTGCTGGGATCAAGCCCCACATCAGGTTTTCTGCCCTGCGGGGAGCCTGCTTCCTCCTCTCTCTCTCTGCCTGCCTCCCTCTCTGCCTAATCTCTGATCTCTGTCAAATAAATAAATAAAATCTTTAAAAGTAAATAAATAAATAAAAATTAAAAAATAAAAAAAGATTTTCCTATGGTAGTGTGAGGCATTAATTCATTCCTTTTTTTAAATTACTGAATAGTATTCCACTTATAGATGTCCCGCAGTTTATTCACCTATTGAAGGATATTTGAGTTTTTACCTGTTCCGGTGATTATTAATAGATACTATAAACGTTTGTGTCGGGCGCCTGGGTGGCTCAGTCAGTTAAGTGTTTACCTTCGGCTCACGTCATGATCCCAGCGTCCTGGGATGGAGTCCCACGTGGAGCCTGCTCCTCCCCCTACCTTTGCCCCTCCCCTGTTTGCGCTCACCCATTTACTCTCTCTCAAATAAGTAAATAAATCTTTAAAAGTAGAAAAAACCAAACATATGTGTTAAGGCTTTTGTGTTGACTTAATTTTCGATTCACTTAGGTAAATACATAGGAGTAGGATCACTAGGCTGTGTGGTAATTACATGTTTATAAGAAATTGTAAAACTGTTTTCCAAAATGTTTGTATTATTTTGCATTCACACCAGTAATGAATAAGAGGTGTGTGTGTGGGTTTTTTTTTAAGATTTTATTTATTTATTTGAGAGAGAGCGCGTGCACATGAGCCCAAGTATTGGGGAGGCAGAGGGAGAAGCAGACTCCCTGCTAACCAGGGAGCCTGACATGGGGTTCGATCCCAGGACTCTGAGATCCCTACCTGAGCCAAAGGCAGGTGTTTGACCAACTGAGCCACCCAGGTGTCCCCATGAATTAGAGTTCTTGTTTCTCAAATCCACAGTGGTTTTTTGTATTTCTAGTACGTAAGCGACCCTTTCTACTTAGATCCATAAGGCACGTTGATTTACATTTTTGCCTCCTTTGGTCGCTTGGCGTTCAGAAAGCAAAGTGGTTGTGATACTATTTCTTTGAGGTACTGAAAAAAATTGGTGCTGCATACAGAAGCAACAACCCCCATGCCACTGTCTCTGAATTGCTGAAGAGAGAACGTTTCCAAAATTCTCAAGTCCCGGGCGAGCAGGGTTACGGGAATGGAAGTCCGGAAGTTTGTGAGCCCGCCGCACGCGGTTATGGGAGTTAGTAGCCCGCGGCTCCTTCTGCGCATGCGCAACACCTCGCAGGCGCTTCCAAATGTTCCGGCTTTCTGTGGGAGAAGGTCCGGAGCCTCCAGGCGTTCGGCGGTCTGCATGCCGTTCTCCGAGCTCGTGCAGCCGGAACGGGAGGGTGTGCGAGGCGAGAAGGATGGGGAGATCCGAGAGGGTTCCTGCGTGGCGCCAAGACGCGGTTGTGGGCGACGTTGCTCCGCTGTAGGGAAGAGGCCCGCGGACCCCGGCGGGACCCTTGGCTGTTCTTCTGGAGAGACTGGGTACGAGGAGGCCTCGGTCGGGTGGAGGGATCACGAGACGGGAGACTCTTTACTAGGGGGAAGGTCGGCTTGGAAGGCAAGGAGGCGGGGATTCGGCACCCTCGGAAGTTGCAGACTCCGCGTTGATCTGCCGGCGTGGTTTGTGCGGCAGCGGGGGGCGTGGAGTAGGGTGAAGAGGGAGGCGGGGCGGGGGGGGGGGGAGTGACCGGTGCGCATGCGCGATGGGTGCGCTCGGTCGTAGAGCGGCGGGAATTGAGCAGATGCTTTGATTCGTGGTGGGCTGAACTATCAAAGTATCATCTGCGAACGGTAAACCTGCGTGAGACTTCACGTCTGTAAAACTGAGGATATTAATAACACCTGTCTCGTGGGGTTGTTCAGAAGATTAAATAACATAGCTCAGTGCCTCGCTGTAAATATTAGCCGCTGTTAATAGAATTATTCTTATCACTCGTTGCATTATGCTTTCAACCTCTCACTTAGGTCGGTATAGCTCTCTCTGCCATAACAAATTATAAAATTGAGGTGGAGAGGAATGTTATATACCCTATGTCACAACATTAGCAGATAAACTAGAAAGCAATTTATTATTTTGTTTTTTAAAGATTTTGAGAGGGGAGAAAGGGAGCATGATCGGGGTGAGGGAGAGAGGAAGAAGGAGAATCAGACTCCCTGCTGAGCAGGGACCCCCCCCCCCCCCCCCCCCTCAACCGGAGGACTCGATCCCAGGACCCCAAGGTCATGATCTGAGCTGAAGGCAGTTCTTAACCTATTGAGCCAGCCAGGCGCTCCACTAGAAGACATTTTTTAAAAAATTCATTCATTCATTCATTCATTCAAGATTTTATTTGATAGAGTGATACAGCCAGAGAGCGCAAGCGGAGGGACAAGGAGAAGGAGAAGGAGGCTCTGCACCCAGTGGGGAGCCTGATGCAGGGGGTGGATTCCAGGCCCCTGTGATTATGACTTGAGCAGAACGCAGATGCTTAACCATCTGAGCCACCCAGCCGCCCAAGAAGACAATTTTAGGTGTTTCTCCAAATGACATGGTCTTTGCAGCTTCCGTCTTGGTTATAAAAGCCAGCATGGCATCCTGCAGAGCACTTAGCAGAAATAATTAGCCGTGTGAAGACATGATCTGAACGATTGAATCTTAACCGTGTAGTAGCTCTGTGTATGGGATTTCTAGATGTCTTCAAAGTGTAGTAGCTCTGTGTATGGGATTTCTAGATGTCTTCAAAGCCTCTGATAGAGACGGTATAATTGTATCCAAGTTAGGTTTGTAACAGTTCTCAGCAGCCTTGATTTGAGTTTATGAAAGGTCTGACCTGAGAGTCTATGGAATAACAAATACATTGAACTGTGGGCCTGGGTGACAATTCCAGCTAAAATGAATTTGCCCCTCAGGTGCCTTTCTCATCTATGTTAGAAAAGCACATCTTGTGAAGTAAGAAGAAGGAGTCTCTAAGTATATGTTTTGTTGGAGAGAACCCTCCAACTATTTGAGGTTCTTTCTTTTTTCTTTTCCTTTTTCTTTTCTTTTCTTCTTCTTCTTTTCTTTTCTTTCTTTTTTTTTTTTTTTTTTTTAAGTAGGCTCACTGCAGGGCTGAGCTCATGACCCTGAGATCAAGACCTGAGCTGAGATCGAGTCATTTGCTTATCCGACCAAACCACCTAGGCACCTCTTGAGTGAGTTTTGAGCAGAGTGTAGTTCCCAGAGAGGAGCAGATGCTAGGTTTTCACAGGCGTGTTCAGAACAAGTGAGATTTGGGAATATTGCCCCATTCAGAAGCTCCCAGGCTGCCTAATGGAGAGAAGCCTGGACCAAGGGCAGCTGGGCTGGAAGGAGTGAAGGATGGTTAGGTGACCTGGGAAATAGAACTGCACTGGAGGCATTCCAGGGATTTGCGGGAAAGGGCCTTAAAACTAGATGCGAGTCAGTTTTGTCTCACCAATCCCAGTTCAACCCCTACTCTTTGTTTTTTACTCCCTCTTCCCAGATTCTGAGCTCTGCTCACACAATGAATCTTGCATTTAAAAATGTGCTGTTGAGTTCTTTACAAGACAGCAGTACAAGGAGAGTTACTTATTTTTCTTCTTGAAAGTTGAGAAGAAATTGGTGCTGAGAATGTAAGTGAATTTCCCTGTCTTTGTGTTGGGGCAGAACCCAGAGGAAACGTTGAGCTTTCCTACCCCAGTCCTGTGCTGACCACATCACCACTGGTTTAAAAAAAGATAGCCATTTGAGAAACTGCATATGCTTTAGAAAAATAAAAGGTACACTCACTTGAAAGTGCCTCCATCCTTTTTTTCTTAGCTTTGGTTGCCTTCTCTAACTTGAGTAAACAAAGAAATACAAATGTAATAACAAGTTCTGTTGTACAGCCTTTGCTGAAGGTTTAGTGTTCCTTCATCTAGCATATTATAATTTGCTTAACCAATTTTTCTCATTTTTAAAATTTCTTTGAAACAGAACAAAGGGGTACAGACATTGTTTAAAAATGTCCTAGACAATAGTTCCATTCACCCAATGAAAAATTGCACACCCAAGCTCTGCATGGCCAAATCACAGTCATACGCAGTCGTGTGGGTGGTTTATCATATGTCCTTTCCTGCCCCTTCTGCGAGGTGAAAAGGATATTCTCCCACAGAGGGGTATTTCACCCAGGTGATGTTTGCAGCTTTTTAAGAAGGCAAGTCCAGGAACTGCAAGGCAGTCTGTACCTCTAATGACTTCATTCCTCTTTCTCTATCCCAGCTCTGCCTTCAGAGATTTCTACATTTTTCCAAGGGAGACCAGAAAAATATGAAGAAGTCCTGTGTGAGTTATTGAAGTCATTTTCTGCTTTGTTTTATAATGGAACTTATGAGGATAATGACTCATGTTTAAAATAGAAAAGTAGAAGTAGATAAAATGAACCTGAGGGAAATAGCCTGACACAGTGGTTCTCAGACTTTAGTGTACATCAGATCAAAACTGGGAAGTGTTTTAAACCATAGAATGGGGCCTGAGAATTTCGTTTTGAACAAGGTTGCAGGTGATGTTGAGGTGTGTAGACCAGGAGCATTGGATCAGCAGATCAATAGGGCAAAGTTGGCACACACACACACACCATATAAAGTTAGATGTTTATCAAACTTGCAAATATTTCAGACTTTTAGCCATGACTCCCCCCACACTCCCTCCCCAGCACCCCCCCCCCCCCAAAAAGAAACATGCATAGAAACATCCCTATTCCTTTTGGAGCCTAAAGACTTTCTGGCATCAAGAGCTGAATAAAAAACTTGTTTCTCCTTATATAAATGATGAACAACCTTCTTGTGGCAAACCACAAACTAAATGCCTATAATTATTCTTCAGTGGAAGCAAAAGACAGATTACCAAGCAGAACCCAGTTAATGAGGTTTTTTAGGAGAACATATTACTAAAACGCATGTAGAGAGCTTTCCCCTGGTCTTGGTTTTTGTTTTCCCTTTATAAAACCTCGAATTTTTATAGAGTAAACTGACCGCATGTCCTTAAAATAACTCCAAAACTCTCAGACCCTGGCAACCACTAATCTGCTTTCTGTCAGTATGGACTTGGATCTTCTGGATCTTTTGTATGAGTATAGTCATACAAAATGTACATTTTGTGTGTGTCTTCCTTCACCTAGTGTAATGTTTTTAAACTTCATCATATTGGAGCATGTTACAGACTTCATTGTTTTTCTTTTCTGGCTTTATTAAGGTATATTTGACAAAACTATAAGGTATGTAGTGAATATTGTGATGATTTTGATATTCATATACATTGTGAGAGGATTCCTCCCATCTAATCTAACACATCCATCACCTCACATATTTCTTTCTTTGTTTTTGGGGGGTTTTTTTGGCGAGAGTATTTAAGCTCTGCAGTCAACAGATTTTAATTGTGATATCAACTGTAGTCACTGTGTTATACATGAGATCCTCAGACCTTCATTTTATAGCTAAATGTACCTTTTTACCAAGACTTCATTTCTTTTTATCATTGAAGAATATTCCACTGTGTCGATGGACCCGAGTTCTGTTCATCCACTTACTGGTTAACAGACGTCTGGCTTGTTTCTGCTTTACCACTGTTGTGAATAGTGCTGCTCTAAACATTCTGTGCAAATTTTGGTAGAATACATGTCTTTGGTTCTTTTGGGTATTTACTGAGAAGTGAAAATGTTGGATCATGCATTCGTTGTAATTTTAAATTACCGCGGAACCACCTGTTTTTCACGTGTGCACAATTTTATATTTCCATCAGCAATGCATGAGAGCTCATTTCCCCTCATTATTGACAGCGCTTGTTGTCTTATTATAGCCATCGTAGTGGGTATGAAGTAGCATCTCATTGTGGTTTTGATTTGCTTTTCCCTAATGTATGAAGTAGCATCTCATTGTGGTTTTGATTTGCTTTTCCCTAATGTCTAACGAGTACCTTTTTGTGTGCTTGTTGGATATTTGTATATCTGCTTCACAGACATGTCCATTCAAATCCTTGGCCTGTTTTTAAATTGGATTTATTGAAGAGTATTTTGGGTAATAGATTTCTATCACATATGTGATTTTCAAATATTTCTTCCTATTCTGTGAGTTGTCTCTTCATTCTCTTGAAAGTATACCCTTTGATTCACAAAAGGTTTTAATTTGGTAAAGTCTTTTTTATCTATTTTCCTTTGTTGTGTTTGCCTTTGAGGTCGTATCTAAGAATCTGTTGTCATTCTAAGATCATGAAGATTCACTCCTGTATTTTTCCTAAGAGTCTTACTGTTTCTAGCTCTCACATTTAGGTCTTTGATCTATTTTGAGTTAATTTTTGTATATGATATGAGGAAGGGGTCCATTTTCATTCATTTGCATGTGGATATTCAGTTCCAATACCATTTGTTGAAGAGACTCTTTTTTTCTCTCATTGAATGATCTCAGCACCCTTGTTGAGCGTCAGTTGACCATAGGTGTATGGGTTTGTTTCTGGATTCCCACTTCTGTTCATTTGTGGATATGATAATATCCATATGTGGATATTATGCTGGTTCCTTGTGTTTGATACTGTAGCTTTATAGCAAGTTTGAAGTCAGGAATTTGAGTTCTCCAGTTTGCTCTACTGAACAAATTCTTCTTGACAAACTTGTCAGGATTGTTTTGGCTGCTTTTTTTTTTTTTTTTTTTTAAGATTTATTTATTTATTTACGAAAGAGCGAGAGCGAGAGAGAGCACACACAAGCAGGAGGGGCAGGGAAAAGAAGAATCTCAAGCAGATTTCTTGCTGACCCCGACATGGGGCTGGATCTCACGACCCCGAAATCATGACCTGAGCTGAAATCGAGTGCTGGAAGCTTAACCAACTGAGCCACGCAGGTGGCCCTGTGTTTAGAATTTAATATTGTGTTTAAGATCTATCCAAATTGGTTACTTCATTCCTTTTAATATTCTGTTATGACAGCATACATTTTAGTTGTCTGTTTCTTATGTCATTTCTGTTTATCATTATTATGAATAATTGTGCAGTGACCATCTTTTACATTTTCTCTCCCTGTATAAGAGCAAGCATTTCAAGTATTCTGTAGTGTACACACATGATAAATATTGTTGGGTCAGATAGACTAAGCATTTCTAGTGTCACTTTATGCTGCCGAATTGGTCTAAGTGACCATACAACTCCCACCGGCTGTTAGATGACAGGACAGCTTTCTTCTTGTTTCTTCTTGTTTCTTCTTGTTGACAGTTGATACCGTTATTTCAAAATTATGGCCAGTCTGATGGATGATGAAAACCTCATTGTTTTGATTTGTATTTCTCTGATTTTGGATAAGATTGGGCCTTTCACTTTTCTTCTGTGAAATGTTGATTTATATGTTTTGTATATTTTTACATACTTTTCCGTTAATTTTGTTCTGTATTTCTTACTGATTGATAAATATCCTTTATGAGTGTTGTATAGTAATCTTTGTTCTATTCGTTGTAAATATGTTCTCCAGAGTTTGTCTTATTTTTTTCACTTTGTGGTATCATTGGTAATATGAAAGTTTTACATTTTGATGTGGTCAGATTTGTGAATCTTTTTTCCACGGTTTTGTTTTGTTTTGTTTTAGTTCTTTTATCCTTCAGTGTATTCCCATTGTGACACATAGTCACATTCCTGTGTCTTAAACTTAGCAGGTATTTCCTCTCTGAGGTATACCATCAAATTGAGACACAATTCGATTGATTTCTTTCATTTACTCTTTGTTTTTAGGGTTTTGTTTTCATTTTGATTATTGTTTTTGTATAAGTATTAAAAATATTTAAATTTTTCTAAAGATGGACTGTGAATATAAATTTAGCAAAGTATATTCAGAGATCAGTCTGGCTTCTCTCTGTCCCCTTATCCTACTCCTGCCCTTACCCAATGTGGGTAGCCATTTTTTAAGTTTTTAATTTTTATTTTACTTATTTTTTTTAAATATTTTTATTTATTTCTTTGACAGACAGAGATCACAAGTAGGCAGAGAGGCAGACAGAGGGGAGTGGGGATGCAGGCCCCCTGCTGAGCAGAGAGCCGGATGTGGGGCTCGATCTCATGACCCTGAGATCATGACCCGAGCTGAAGGCAGAGGCTCAACCCACTGAGCCACCCAGGCACCCCTAAGTTTTTATTTTAATTCCAGTGAAATCAACATACAATTTCATATTAATTTTAGATGTGCAATATAGTGATTCTCATTTTGTTATTTTTAATATAAGAAGGCTCATATGTAGATCTTTGTCACATTGTACTTGATTTTTTCACTTAAACTTTGTGGGTTGTTTTTTTTTAAAGAATCAATTAATTGACAGACAGTGAGAGAGGGAACACAAGCAGGGGGAGTGGGAGAGGGAGAAGCAGGTTTCCTGCAGAGTGGGGAGCCTGATGTCGGGTTCGATCCCAGGACCACGACCCAAGCTGAAGGCAGACACTTAACGACTGAGCCACCTAGGCGCCCAGTTCTTTTTTTGTTGTTGTTTTGGGGTTTTTTTTGTGTTTTTGTTTTGTTTTGTTTTTTGCTGTTTTTTTTAAGATTTTATTTATTCATTTGAGACAGAGAATACAGAGAGAGAGCCTGAGCAGTGGGGGAGGCAAGGGAGAAGGAGAAGCAGGTGAGCCGGCAGCCAGATGCTGACGCTGGCTGGATCCCAGGACCTGAAGGCAGACACTTAACCATTTGAGCCATTGAGGTGCCCCTAACTTAAACTTTGTTTTGTCATTTAATAATGTATTATGGAGTTCACTCTGTAGTGCCACAAAGAGATACTCCTCAGTTCCTTTTCCAGTTGCTTAGCACTTCATGGTGTGAGTATAACATAACACATTCCACAAGTTCCTTAGTAATCAATATTTGGGGGTTTTTTAGTCTTTTGCAAATATAAATAGTGATATAACCTCTTCTTTCTTTGATCAGTGTGCCCTTATGGTTGGTCCCCAGAAGTGGGATTTCTGTGTTAAATGGTAAATTCACGTATAATTTAGCTAACTATTGCCATATTTCACTTAATGGTGGTTAATCTTTTTTGTATTTTGAACAGGATATGAGGATGCTTTCATGCATATAACAATTAAGTATGTGTGGTTATTCTTTTGGATTTCTGCCAGTCCAATAGGAGTGAAATAATTCAGTATACTTTTTATTTAAATTTTTCTTTTTAAAGGGTAAGCTTGATCTTCTAAGTTTAGTACCATTTGCATTTCTCTTCCTGTGAGTTTTCTCTTCACAGTTCTTGCCCATATTTAGAGGGTTATTGGTTTTTTCCCTTTTAGAAATTCTTTATATAGGGACCCTAACCTTTCTTTGTCATGTAAGTTGCAGATACTTAATTCTGGGTTGTCATTTTTCTTTTGATTTTGGTTTTTCTTTTATTTTGTAGAGGACTTGGTTGGTTGGTTATGATTTTATGTAGTCAGGTCTGTCAGTATTTTTTTTTATTGCATCTGGATTTTTAAAAGTCTGATGCTCTAGTGACTGAACTATGTGAGCTCTGCATCTGAATTTTTAGTCATAGTTAGGTAAGTTTTATTCTTTCTTAAGTTATGGGGGAACTCACCCATGTTTTCTTCTAGTACTTACATAGCTCTTACTTTTTATTATTATTATTTTTTTACATTTAAGCTTGACCAGTCCATTTGCAGTTGTCCTGATGTATAGACGAGAATGAGTTAGGAGTAGGTTAGCTAGGTTTCTTAGGCATTAATGCTGCAATCAAGGTGTTTCTTGGGACTCCTTATCTAAGGCTTGGTTGGGTTCCCATCTGTACATATGTGGCAGAATTTATTTCTGGACAGCCGTAGGATTCACAGTAGCTTGCTTCTTCTTTGAGGTCAGAAGAAGGGTCTCTGATATTTTACGTTCTTTAAAAGACTCACATGAGGGATGCCTGGGTGGCTCAGTTGGTTAAGTGTCTGTCTTTGGCTCAGGTCATAATCCCGGGGTTCTGGGATCAAGTCCCATGTTGGGCTTCTTGCATGGCAGGGAGCCTGCTTCTCCCTCTGCCCCTCACCCTGCTCGTGTGCTCATGCTCGCTCTCTCTCTCTCTCTCAAATAAATAAATAAAATATTAAAGATAAATAAATAAAAGGCTCACATGATTAGGTCAGGCCCACCCAAGTAAATCTTCCTTTTAGACCAAAGTCAACTGATTAAAGGATCTTATTTATACTTGCAAAATCTGTTTTGCTGTAGAATGTATCACAATCACAGGGACTTAAGTCTCTTCCATTTAAGAGGAGTTTACCTCACGTTGTTGGATCCATTGGAGGTCATCTTAGATTCTGCCTACCATAATTAGTGTGAGTTTATCCATCCTGTTTTCCAAGGTAGCTTTGGTTATCTTGTTCATTCAAGTTTCTATGTAAGTTTGAGAGTAAACTTACCAGTTTCCACAAAAATATCTGCTAAGATTTTAATTCTGATTGTCTTGAATTTATAGGCCAATTTGTGGAGAAATTAGATATTTTTGTAATATTAAATTGTCCAAGCCATGAATATAGTGTATTTATTTATTTAGGTATTCTTTGTTTTTTTTTTTCTCAATAATACCTTATACATTTCTGGAAAATAGTCTTGTTTTTCCTATTAACCAATTTTTAGTGTATGACATGAACATTGATTAGCTATTTGTTTTGATAACCTGGGAATATGTCTCTGTTTCTTCTTGCTATATTTTCCACAGTGGTCATTTCATAAATGGGTGGTATAAAACCTATGAACTGTATAAGATAGTCAATTCAGTTATGGGAAGAAAATACTTGGGTATCTCCCTAGATTTATTGTAATCCATAAAAAGAAGAGTGAAGAAATCTAGTATACAATGAAATGGAGATACACACTAATGTACTGTAATTATGTAATGTGATAAATACAGCTACACTGGCAATCATTATAGTATATAAGCCTATCAGAGTTACACAATGTTAAATGCCAAATATATTCATTTGAAAAAAATAAAAGTGATTTAGGAAAAATAACAATAATGCAATTTTTTTTTAAATATTTATTTATTTGACAGACAGTGAGAGAGGGAACACAAGCAGGGGGAGTGGAGAGGGGGAAGCAGGCATCCCGCTGGGCAGGGAGCCCGATGCGGGGCTCGATCCCAGGACCCTGGGATCATGACCTGAGCCGAAGGCAGATGCTTAACCACTGAGCCGCCCAGGTGCCCCACAATAATGCAATTTAATATATAAATTCACATCGTAAGTTTACTGTTTATAAAAAAGGGTTTCCTAAAATAAAAAAGAAAGAAAGAAAGAAAAGGGTTTCCTAGATGGAACAGTAACCAAACATTTTGGGCACCCTGTCCTACAGGAGTTATGTTCGCAATTATTAAATAACATTTTCCCTGAAGACGACTGTATCTCTTTATGTGAACATAGTCCCAGCAGTCCTTTCCTGTGTGTTCACTTACTCCTTTAACTACATTTTTAAAAAAGATTTTATTTATTCCTTTGACAGAGAGAGAGAACACACACACATAGCGGGAGAGGGAGAAGCAGACTCCCCACTGAGCAGGGAGCCTGACATGGGGCTCCATCCCAGGACCCTGAAATCATGATCTGAGCCAAAGGCAAACACTTAACCAACTGGTGCCCCTTAACTACATATTTTAGAAGGGTACATGGTTATGCTCTTCATGAATGATACTATGTTCATGAATGATACTATGTTATCAGTGAAGCCCACCCTAATAGCAGGAATAGAACTTTTCTCCCCTCTGTAATCTCACTCTACTTTGCACCTGTTTTTACTATAGTAGGATTTTATGCTACATGGTAGTTGGATGCTTCATGCTTGTGTCTGTCAGATTATATGCTCCTTGAGAACAGTGACATGGTTTTATTGGTTTTCAGATTCTCAAGGTAGGAGAGTTCTTTATGGCATGTAGGCACATGATGGGATTCCAGTAACTTATCACACTGGTGAGGAATGTCTGTCATGCTTTCTCCTCCAACCAAGTACAAAGGTAGACACGCCAGAACACATTTTCTAATTATGAATAGTGAACTCCGTAACAGTTCTTCGACAGCTTTTCCATGCCTTCCAATTGTGATTACTTACATTTGAACACAAATGTGCTATTTCAGGAATCCTTATCATTTGCGGATGTGACTGTGGGCTTTACCCAGGAGGACTGACAGCATCTGGACCCTGCTCAGAGGACCCTGTACAGGGAGGTGATGCTGGAGAACTATAGCCACCTTGTCTCAGTGGGTAAGGATTGTTTCCCATGTAGACTCCTAGTATGCACTTTCTTTCTTGGTTTGACACCTCTAGAAGCTTTGTTGAGTTTAATGATATTTAGGTTTGAGATTTCAAGTATTAAACAGAAGGATTATTGAATCACTGTAAAGAATGAAGTGTTGTAATTGGCCCCTGAAGCTTCATCTTCTGTGTTCTTCAAGGGCCCTGAAGCCCATGAGCCTCGCCCAATTCCCATGTCATTTCCCAATTACAGGGTGTTGCATCCCTAAACCAGAAGTTGTCCTGAAGTTGGAGCAAGGAGAGCAGCCATGGATGCTAGAGGAAGAGTCCCCAGGTCAGAGCTACCCAGGTAAGTTAGTATGTATTAAACAGATGGACACTAGGTCACATGGTATGACTTGTTTTTATTCTCAGGTGCTTGCTTATATGTTCATTTTCACATTTAACAAATACTGAGTACCTGCTGTGCCTCACTCAAGTTTTAGGTGCTGAAACACATGATCAAACTGGATTTGTTCCTGACCTCATGGAGCTTACATTCTGATAGGGAAAGAAAAGAAATAAACAAACATACACATACTATGTGCATAATATGTCATAATATACATAATATGTACACAGATACACATACTATATACATAGTATGTCCATAAAATCGCAAGGAAGTTATAAATTGAAATAACGAAATGTAATACTTGAGAAAAGGAGGGCATTCAGGAAGTCATTTTGATGATATCAACTTGAATGAAATGATATAAAATGCACAGGTTTACATGGGAATAAGCATTTGGTTGTATGAGCAGAGGTGATATAGGGAAGACCCCAGGTTGGAGATACTTGGAAATTATTAACTTATGGTAGTATTTTAAGTTTTTAAATTTAGTATTTGAAGCTAAGGGATCAGGTAACCACCTCTCCTTAGAAGTAAGAATGAACAAATTTGAGAGGTATGAAAGCTGTCCCCTGGGACACTAATGTTTAGAAGTGATGAAAGTGAGAGGACTCAGCAAAGACAGAAGGAACAGTCTAGAGATAAGGTGGAAACATACAATATGCTGTCCTGTAGCCAAGTTAAGATGGTTTTCAAAGACAAAATGAACTTCTTGAAGAAGAATGTATAAAGTCAGCATTTTCGCCTTTGTCTGCAAATCATCCAGAAGCACTAAGGGAAGTGAGCAAGACAAGCTTCATTATATGACACTAGTGGATATCTGAAATCCCAAATCAGTATAAGTGTACCTGCAGCAGAGCTGATGACGGGATCAAGGAACGTGTGTATGTTAGCAGGTGGGTAGAAAACAAAAGCATTTCTGATGCGCACGGGGTCTGGCAGTGCGCCTTTCATGAGCAGAGCACATCCACACCTAAAACTTCCATGAACAACAGTGCCATGAACTAGATAGCTGAGCTCCCTTGGAGACAGTTTCGTTCTGCAAAGGAGACATACTGGAGTTTAGAAGCACAAACCACACTTTTCAATAGCCCTCTGTTTCCATGATGGTGCAAGAGAGACTGTACATGAGGGAAAACCACCTCATAGACACTAAATGTTCAGAAATAATCTTACATGCCATCTTAGTGGGTACTCCTCTGACACAGAATTTGATGCAGAAACTTACTTGACAACGGTTGGTTGGGATTTGCAGACCTTCTACAAAAGTGAGGGAAGCATGGGGGACGGCAAGGCTGGTTAGGAGGAGGGGAAAGCTCAGGGGGGTGATTACCTCGTTAACTGTAGCTCTGTAATTAGCACATCTGATTGCTCAGACTAGCAGGACATGTTCCGAGTCTCACTGTGAACCACTGTGTGCCAGAGCAGCTGGTCAGAAAGGTGGAAGGGAAAAGGATACTATCTTTTGTCTTGTTCCTCTCTCTCAGATGAAATTGTTCTGTAGAGTTTTAACTACCTTTCTTTCCTGGATTGCATCAGACAGTTGGTCTAGGCAGATGCTGGGGAAGTCGGAGCCTCCATGGGCCCAGTTCAGCCTCTTGGGCTTGTTTCTGTGAAGTGAGCGCAACACTCAGTTTTCCTCAATTTGGAGCTGCAGCAATGCCAGCCCCAGTGAGCTGACTCTGTGATGACCTAGAGAGCAAGCCATTGGGGAGGCTACTCCCACGAGGAAGGAAGGCACATCCTGGTTGATCTGTAAACTGAGACCAACACATGTGCAGAACCCTTGTTCATAATGAATTACCCCTCTAGCCTAAGGGATGACTCTGTTCCCTCTCCCAGGTAAACCTTTTGCAGTGTGCTGTTCCTTGAAAAGCTATCCTTTGAGCCCAAGTAGTGGAAAAGGAACCAGCACAAAATGCCTGCAAAACTATTATAAGAAAAAAGGGGTGAAAAGTATCAGGAAGAAAGCTAGTTGGTGATAGAATTGTCATCTGATCAAAGTAGTCATAAAGTAGGTAAATTATGTGACCAAATATTAAATCATGAGTTTCCAAAGGGTGAACTAATTGAATTAATTATCTCTGTGATACAAGTATTTAAGAAAGATATTCATAAGGGAATAGCAAACACATGGCAGGGTGTCAAACTGAGAAAAGAGAACAGAATATAAAATTACAGTAAAGAAAGCAAATTGGAAGAATCCCAAGGATGAATACATACGGTCAAAAATCTGTTCAGGGCCGCCTGGGTGGCTCAGTCATTAAGCGTCTGCCTTCGGCTCAGGTCATGATACCAGGGTCCTGGGATCGAGCCCCACATTGGGCTCCCTGCTTGGCAGGAGGCCTGCTCTCCCTCTCCCACTCCCCCTGCTTGTGTTCCCTCTCTCACTGTCTCTCTCTCTTAAATGAATAAATAAAATCTTTTTAAAAAATTTGTTCAGAAAGAAAGGATAGATGTAAGCAAAAAGAAAACGAAATAAAGTTTGAAGATTACATTAAAAAGAGAGTTCACATACATACCATACATAGAATTCACTCCCCAAAAGAGAAAGGAAAAGAAATAGAACAAATGTTTAAAATATTTCAAGAGTACTTTTTGTGGGAGAAGAGATTTGTGATTGAATCTGTGTAAAAGAGCCAGTCCTTAGCAACATTAGGATATATTGTGATAAAGGGACTAGATTTCAAAAACAGTTATTTTGACAACCAGCCAATATCAGAGAAAGTCCAGATAGCCTCAGACTTTTCCATAGTAAAATCTGTAGCTCAGAGTCAGCAGAGCAGTTTCTACAAAATCCTCAAGGTGTCACATTGAGAGTATTACACCCAGTTAAGAAGATACTCTTCAACAAAGACAGCAAGTCTTTTCTGAATAGACAAGAGCTCTAGGATCTTTGTTCCTAGAAGCCTCTGTTAGAGAATGAGTATCAGGTAACCAGGGAGTGACATAAGAAAGCATGGTAAAAAGACTGGTAGTAGACTCGGAATTTAACTGAAGAACTAATTTTATGTTGTTTTTTAGTTTTATTTTTTCTTAAAGTCTTACCTGTTTAAGAAAGAGAGAGCGTGAACACGGTAGGGAGAGAGAGAGAGAAACAAGCAGACTCTGTGTTGATCATGGAGCCCGACGAGGGACTCTACCCACAACCCCGAGATCACGACCAGAGCTGAATCCAAGAGTCAGACAGTCAGCCGACTGTGCCACCCTGACACCCCCCAAAGGACTGACTTTAAAACAAATGTGGGAGCTAGGTGACAGATTGTACGAGTTGCAAATCTAGGCAACACAGAAAGGGTATATATCTATATAGATAAGAGGAGGCTAAAAACAAACGGAGAGGAGAGAAGGTATACAAATACGGTGACTTCTTTTATAACATAATGTGTGTTTTCCTAAAAAAGAATCACTGCTTCATATAAAAAAACCAGCATTTAACTAATGCCCTTCTAAAAGCTCAGGATATACATCAATGAACAAGAAAGTCAAGGACTCTCCTTTTGTTGGGCTTCCATTCAGGAGGGAGGTGTAGAGATAAGGACCACAGAGAAAGAAAGGATGTGAATAAATTAATCCTATAATTTCAGGTCATGCTAAATGCTATGAAGGGTTTTAAAGACCAGAAGATGAGATGATAGTAATAGAGGGTATTGGGGATAAGTAGACTGTTTCAGCCAAGTGGCCAGGGGTAGTCTCTTCAAGATTGTATCTGGAAAGGGCCTAGATTATATGAAAAATCTTGACAGCAAAGATCTGTGAGAAGAGCATTGATGAGAAGAGGCAGGAACGCCCTGGGCAGGAGCACCCTTGACTAATTCAATCGATAGCAAGATGGCTAGTGTGTTTGTATCATGACAAGCACAGTGAGCAATGGCATGAAATAAAGTTGGAGACACCAGCATAAACTTGATCTTGAAGTTCTAGGCCATGCTGCAAAATTTGAGTGTCATTACAAAAAAATGGGGGTCCATTGCAGTTTTTAGTAGTGAAAGAGACTATAATATAACACACACACAAAAACGTTTTTGGTTCTTTGCCCGTGGTTCCTGGCACATAGCTCCTAAAACCCTTGGAATCTCTGGCATGAAAAGAGTGTCTTTTGTATACTGAAATAACTGGTGGCTGGGGGCCGCTAGATCACTTCAGGTGGGGCGGGGGTGGCCATCACACCAGTAGCCAGTGACTTAATCACTCAAGCCTAGGTAATGAAACCCCTCTAGGAGCCTCTAAACAGCAGAGTTCAGGAGGCTTCGAGTGGTGTGCCCCAGAGAGGGTATGGGAGTTCCACATACCACACACATCCCCAACCCTTGCCTATATATCTCTTCTCTTTGGCTGCTCCAGAATTGAATCCTTTATAATAAATTGGTAATACAAGGGGCGCCAGGGTGGCTCAGTCGTTAAGCGTCTGCCTTTGGCCAGGTCATGGCTGAGCTCTGCATCGGGCTCTCCGCTGGGAGGGAAGCCTGCTTCTCTCTCTCCCAATCCCACTGCTTGTTTCCCTCTCTCACTGTGTTTTTCTCTCAGATAAATAAATAAAATCTTTAAAAATAAAATAAAATAAATTAGCAATATATAAGTAAATAGTTTGTTGGGGTTTTTTGAGGTATTCTAGTGAATTACTAGTCTGAGGTGAGATGGCTAGTCATGGGAACCCACGGTTTATAGTCAGAAGCCCTGGAGGCAAAAAAAGAAAACAACATAAATAGTCCCTTCAGCTTTCTTGTAATGTCTATGTGGTGTATCTTTTTCCATCTTCTTACTTTTAATCTATTTATATTTAGAGTGGGTTTCCTATAGATAATATATGGTTGGGTCTTTTTTAACTAATGTGAAAATCTCTCATTTTTTAATGGGAATATTTTAACCACTAAGTGGATGCCTGTGGAATACTATACCTTCAGTCTGTCACAGTCTGATTTCAAATTACATCATTGCTATTTTATAAGAGGCTTACAGTGTTACAATAATATGCTTATGTTCGTCCTCCCTTTCTGTGTGATATTTTACTTCAAACCCCACAAGGCAGCAGCTCTTTCTGCTTACAGGTCTTCATTGTGCAAGATGTTTTCTGTCAGTACGGAAATCTGGATCGACACTTTTCTGTCCTTAGTTGATTTACTTCACTTTCTTCTAGGTTACAAACTACCTTCTCTGATTTTTAAATCTCTGTTTTTCCGTATTTAATATTCTGTTTTCTCTTGTTGCTGTCAAGATTTTCTTTTCATCTTTGGTTTTCAGCTGTTCAACTCTGTTGTTTCCAGATTTACCTTTGATTTGTTTTTTTTAGTGTGGGGGGGTGGGTTTCCTGGTTATTTTGTCTTCTCGGTTTCCTAAATAAGTGGTTTGATGTATTTCATTCTTTTTTTTTTTTTTTAAAGATTTTATTTATTTATTTGACAGACAGAGATCACAAGTAGGCAGAGAGGCAGGCAGAGAGAGAGGAAGGGAAGCAGGCTCCCTGTTGAGCAGAGAGCCCGATGCGGGACTCGATCCCAGGACCCTGAGATCATGACCTGAGCCGAAGGCAGCGGCTTAACCCACTGAGCCACCCAGGCGCCCATGATGTATTTCATTCTTAATTTGTGGCTATATTTGATACTGTTCCCTAGTTCTTGGGTCTGTCATGTCAGAATTTCCTCAGTGTCTGTGCTCCGTTTCCAGCTTTTGGCTGCCCATCCAAGCCTGTGTCACAGAGGATTTACTTCTTTACTCCTGTTTCTCTTCCAGCAGTCAGCTGAGCTCATGCTGCTTCAATGAGAAATAAAGCCAGCCACCAGTTAACAGTGATAGATACAGATTTTATTCAGTAACTGTTGGAATAGGAGGTGAGAAGTTTCAGTAAAACTGAGCTCAACTCCACATAATGCTAAGACAGCTAGGGACTTACAGCCAACAGGCAGAGTGGGGGGAATCACTGGATAGAGGATTAATAAGAGAAACACCAATAGTAGGGGGATTCTTGCTGAATGCAGATCAGGCATTAACCCATCAGGGACAGGGTATAAGGAACTTGATCAGATATCAAAGATGAAGGGACTGTCACTAGACTGACTTAAAAGGGTTCTTGCTGAAACTGAGCTCAGCCCGGATAGACCTGGAAGACCTAGTCAAGGCCTAGTTGAGAATAGGGCTCAGAGGACACTAACTGAGGTTTAGTCAACAGGAGAGTTCGTTTCAGAGTATCATTAAATTCGCGTTGGTAATGAAATAAATTATAGAAGCTGTACCTTTAATTGTGTAATTTCATTGTAAAATTCTAATGGACATACTACAGGAAAAGAAAATGAAACCCAAAAGAATGCTTGAGAGGAGTGGCAAGTGATACGTCATGACAAAACACAGAGGTGATTCTGAACAAATGGATGTGTAGAGTAATTATGATACTAATATGTAGGGCAAAAAAAACATACACGAAGAACTAACTATATAAATGAGGTGAGAGGTGATCAAATTGAGTTTGATGCTTCTGTTCTTCAGAAAGGGAGATCTAAGATAGTGAATTATTCTAGATTTTAAGTTAAATATTCATGGTATGATGTGATGGATAGCCCCTTAAAGGTGAGAAACAGTGTGTATAACTTTTAAAGTTGTAAGGAAGAAAAAATGGAAAAGATAAGAAATTATTTCAAAAAGAAGGAAGAAAAGTACAGTAGAATTGGTAGTAAAATTGTGACAAATATAAAGTACCAAGTAAAATGTGAGAGATGACTTGATATATTTCAGGAATCACCATAAATAGAGACAGACTACATTTACTTGTTAAAGTACAAATTGTCAAATTGGATCTTTGAAATAAAATAATACCTTCCTATAGCTAAGATAATAGGTTTTCATTTGTTCTGCTAACTACATATTTATATTTTTAGCATCTTTTGCCCACTTGACATTCAGTGTTATACCTGTCTGTATATAGCAGATACAGGATATCCTGATCCCTTCAGTGTGGGAAGAAGTAATATCAGTCAGCATTTACAAATCATAAATTTTCCCCACTTCATTTGTTACCTCCTGTGAATCTTCTCTTGTAACTGTGTCCTTGTGTCATGTCATTTTTCTGTCTTCCTTTCTTACTAATGTTAGATCACTATTGTTATATTTTTGTAAACTTTAAAAAAATTCTTTTTATATTCTGTTTGTTCTGATACCACCCAGAACACTTGGGCATACTGTTTTACTCTTTGTTCTGATTCCTAAATGAAGTTAGACTTTGCCTGCCAAGGCATCTAATTTATCATGTTAATATCTTGAGTTGTATTTTGCCCAATACATAATATAGCAAACTTATGTTTTTCTCATTTAATGACCCTTAATCTTTTTTACCCTTTGAAAAAAAAGATTTTATTTATTTATTTAGAGCAAGCACACATGAGTTGGGGGAGGGCCAGCAGAAGAGGGAAAGAAAGTATCTCAAGCAGACTGTGCTGAGGGGCGCCTGGGTGACTCAGTCATTGGGCCTTCAGCTCAGGTCATGACCCAGTGTCCTGGGATCGAGCCCTGAGTTGGGCTCCCTGCTCAGCAGGGAGCCTGCTTCTCTCTCTCCCTCTTCCCCTGCTTGTGTTCCCTCTCTCTTTCTCTGTCTAATAAATACATAAAATCTTAAAAAAAAAAAACAAAAAAAAACTCTGTGCTGAGCGTGGAGCCCTACACAGGGCTCGATCTCACAACCCTGAGATCACAATCTGAGCTGAAATCCAGGAGTCAGACACATAACCACCCTAGCCACCCAGGTGCCCAGTCACCCTTAAATACGGCTATGTTTCCTCTGTGTGGCACAGAACTGGTGCTAGTCCTTCTTTTTAGGATTACCCACAGATATGCTGTCCTGCCATATAAATCTACATTTCATTCCTAACATACTTGGGGATTTTTGTGAGTTAATACATGAAAAGTACATGGAAGAGTGCTTGGCTCATGGTAATGGTTAGTTTTCCTGTTAACTTTTCTTGTTCTTAATATCATTATCATTGGTTTTAAGCACATTTTCAAATTTAAGCTCAGCTTTCCACAGCTTTTAAAATGTTCCTTCACTCCTTTAATTTACATTATCTACTATAGAATCTGATTCCTGGTAGTGTATGGATGTTGAATGAAGAAGCTATTCTCTGGATTATAATTCCTTCAAAGAGAGCATATCTTACTTTGTTATATAACATATAGTGGCTATTGGATCATTACTTAATTCATTAACTGTTCCTCATGATGAGTGAGAGAGCCTTTATATTCAGAAAACACTACAAGGAATTAATTTCTAAATGGACATGTTGGGTTATAAACCTGTAGGTTCTTGTTCAAAATTACAGATTTGTAGAAAACTTGAACTTTATTTTGAAAAAGCACACCACTTGTTAAGGACCATGACTTTCATAATCACTCAGGTGTGTTCAGAGGGAATCAGATATAAATACTTGCCACACCGTAGATCGTAGTTGGAAAAAGAAAAAAGATTACTGAGTATTTCAAATTTCGGCTGTTAACAGGGTATGTTTATGTTTCAAGGGAGTATTAGCCAGCATTCTGATAGAATGAGATGTATAGAATGTGATTAATTTTTTAAATTGATGTATAAGTAGGACTTGAAATGTTTGTGAAGACTTATGAGACAGTGTCATTTTCCTAAAGAGCGAAGTTCTGAGCAAGTCCAAAATGGGAATGTAAGCCAGCTGAGTTGAAAAGTCTTGCTTGAACTTGAATGATTTTTGACAAATTAATAGTCTGGCATTTCTACAAAGAAGACACTTATTATGGACTAGTGAAGCGATCACTTGAATACCGGATATGTATGTAGTTGAGGACAAGTTCCCCCTCCACCCAAGCATTATAACTGCAATATGTTTCCTTTAATGGCACTTGGAGACAATGGGCTTTGAAGAGGTTTTTAAACAGGGTCATCATTGTTACATTGTATGTACTGAGCAAGAAGGTAATATGAAGTATAGCTGAGAATTCTTAGGATGAATAAATATATCATTGAGTGTTTGGGGTCAGGTCTTCCATGGTCATAAATACACATAAAACCAAGAAATGTAGAAATCTGGGTGTAAAAGAAAAATTCTTACTAATAATATGTCAGAGCAACTTTACAGTGGGGAGAAATTAGCATTTGGTGGTAGGGTATCTGACCAAATAAGCTTGAATATACCACAACTAAAAACAACAGAAGGATTTGATTGTCTTTCAGTCTTTTTCCTCATCTTTTTAATTCTACTTTTCCTGGTAGACATTTGTATTTTTTATAAGTAACATGAATAGAAGGAGAATTAGAAACTATAGGACTCTCTTCATAGGCACAAAGAAATCAGTGCTTCCAGAAATTTAATTTGGTATTAACAATATACTAAATTAATGTATATATAACAAAACAGAAGTAGTTTTAAAGGAGGGAGAATGAAACTGGAAACATGTAAAGTTTAGAGAGAATTTAGGTACACTAATGTAAGTATGAGAGGAAAATTATATAAAGTCTGATCCTTCTGAACGATATCAAATCGTTCCTCTATTTCTTTAGGGCACTCCTATCTACTAAGTTTCATGGCCTCTCTAGTTCTCTGCATTTCCCCTTTCTAGATGAGCCTTTTTTTTTTTTCAAAGTCTCTTCTTCACCATGCTTTATACTTATTTGTAATGTATATATTAAGTCTTAAAGTATGTTTTTGTAAATTGCCAAATGTAGATGTGTGTGTTCTAAGTTTTTAATCCCCTTTTCTACCCTTTCAGGTTTTGTTTTTCTAATCCAAAGGGATGGGGCAATATGACTGTTTGGATCACTCTTATTTCACAAAACTAAGTCAGTGATGTAGAAGGGCATTTGTTTTAAGTGTAATTTCATCATAATTAAGATACGATTCATGGCTTATGGTTTGTCTTTTTCATCTTTAGAAGTCTGCAAAGTTGATAGCCAAGCAGAAGAGACTCGAGAAACCCAGGACAGACGTTTCTGGCAAGCTCCATTTATCAACAACAAAACACTGACTGTGCACAGAGGTAATGTATTAGGAAGCATTTTTAATTTCAGCACAGACACAGTTCCTTCCATAAAAATACCGTGTAGGTGTGACTCATGTGGTATGAATTTGAAATGTGTTTCAGAATTAATTATTAGTAAGAAAAACTATTTAAGTAAGAAGGCTGTTGGCCTCAATACATACGGGAAATTGTTCCTTCATATTAACCATGAACAAACTCAAATGGGAAAGAAACCTTGTGAATTCATTCAAAATGGAAAATACCTCAGTCATAATGAAGATTTAATCCCGTATCAGAGAACTAAAAATATAGAGCAATCCTTTATTCAAAGCAATAAGGAATACAAGGAATGTGGGAAAGCTTTCCATGAGATGGCAGTTGTCATCCCATATAACCAAGCTTACATAGGACAGAGCCCTTGTGAACATAATGAATGGGATAAAACATTCTGTAGTAATTCAACCCTCATGGTCAGTAAGATGGCACAAAGAACAGAAAATCATTATGAGTTTCAAGAATATGTTAAAACTTTTGAGAAATCATCTCTCTTGGAACACAGAGTTCATTTAGAGGTGAAAGGTTAGGAGTATATTGAAAGAGTGGATAATTTCAATGGGAGATCAGACTTTCTTGGCACAGGAGAGAGAATATTTGAATATAACAACTTGGGAGAACCCTTTTGGGAGAAGTCAGTTCTTAATGTAACTCAGAGAACACACATAGGAGACAAAGTCTATGAATGTAATGAATGTGGAAAAACATTCTGCAAAAAGTCAAAACTCACCAAACATCAGAAAATACATACAAAAGAGAAACCCTATGAATGTAAGGAATGTGGGAAATGCTTCTCTCGCAAATCTCTCCTCACTTTACATCAGCGAGTCCACACAGGAGAGAAACCTTATGAATGTAAGGAGTGTGGGAAATGCTTCTTTAGAAGTTCATACCTCATAATTCATCAGAGAACTCACACAGGAGAGAAACCCTATGAATGTAAACAGTGTAGAAAAAGCTTCTACCATAAGTCATATCTCACAGTACACCAATGAATTCACACAGGGGAGAAGCCATATGAATGTAATCAATGTGGAAAAACCTTCGTAAGTAACTCAGTCCTCACAATACATCAGAAAACACACACAGGCAAGAAAACCTATGAGTGTAATCAGTGTGGGAAATTCTTCTCTAGAAACTCCTACCTTAGAGTACATCTGAGAACTCACACAGGGGAGAAGTCCTATGAATGTGAGATATGCGGGAAAGCCTTTTGTCACAAGTCAGATGTCACTAAACATGAGAAAACTCATGTAGGGGGAAAGCCTTATGGATGTAATCAGTGCGGGAAAACCTTTAGTCGCAACTCTGGTCTAAAAGTACATAAGAGAACTCACACGAAGGAGAAGCCGTATGACTGTAGTGAGTGTGGGAAATCCTTCTCTGAGAAATCAGTCCTCACAGTACATCAGAGGATACACACGGGAAAAACCGTGTAAGTGTAATAAATGTGGAAAAACCTTCTACAATAAATCAGACCTCACTAAACACCACAGAACTCACACAGGTGAGAAACCCTATGAATGTAAAGAATGTGGGAAGTTCTTCTCTAGGAATTCATACCTGACAGTATACCAGAGAAATCACACAGGAAAGAAACCCTATGTGTGTAAAAAATGTGGGAAGACCTTTTGCCGTAAGTCAGACTTTACAATACATAAACAAACACACAGAGGGGAGAAATCATACCACTGTACTCAGTGTGGGAAAACCTTCACTTGCAGCTCAGTCCTCAGATCACATCAGAGAACTCACACAGGTGAGAAGCCCTATGGATGTAATCAGTGTGGGAAGTCATTTTCTGAGAAATCAGTTCTCACAGTACATCAGAGAATACACACAGGGGAGAAACCTTATAAGTGTAATGCATGTGGGAAGTCCTTCTATCATAAGTCCGATCTCACTAAGCATCAGAGAACACATACAGGAGAGAAACCCTATGAATGTAATCATTGTGGGAAAACCTTCAGTTGCAACTCAGGCCTCGAAGTATATCGGAGAAGACACATAAGAGAGAAACCCTATGAATGTATTGAGAGTGAGAAAACCTCCAAGAAATCAGTTATCACAGTACATCCAAGGTTACACACAGGGGAAGAAAATTTATAAATACAGCAGTGAGAGGAATCTTTTCTCTTGTGATTCATACCTCAAAATACCACAGAAAATTCACAAAGGACATGACCCCTATGAATGTAAAGAATGGCAAATTTGGGGCGCCTGGGCGGCTCAGTGGGTTAAAGCCTCTGCCTTCGGCTCAGGTCATGATCCCGGGGTCCTGGGATTGAGCCCCGTGTTGGGCTCTCTGCTCAGCAGGGAGCCTGCTTCTCTTCCTCTCTCTCTGCCTGCCTCTCTGCCTAATTGTGATCTCTGTCTGTCAAATAAATAAAATCTTAAAAAAAAAAGAATGGCAAATTTTTACCCTAAGTCATCTTCCAAAGTAAACAAGAGAATACTCGTAGTGGAAAAATACTCTGAATTTGTTGAATGTCTGAAAACCTGTTGAAATAAGACAACTAAAAATGACTGTAGAAGAAACCCTATTAATGCATGTAGGAAATATGGGGAATTATTTTATTATGAAGTAGAACTTATTAAATAAGGAACTTACGTAGGAGATAATCCTGTCAAACGTGTGAAAATATTCTTCCAGAATTTGGCCTTAAATAACAATCATACCACACTTGGGAAAAAAGTGTCAACATCTTGTATATTTTTGAGACCTTTATACACAAGTTGTACTCAATGTATGTCAGGGAAATAATAGGGAAGATACCCAAAGAATGCACAAATGTGGTTCAGCCTTTATCGAGAAATGCCATTTTGTTGAGCAAGACAATTGATATCGGAAGACATCGTAAAGATGTTTTGAGTGTGCACGCTTTAACAAAATTCGGACTTTCTTATATCTGAAGATTGTATTGAAGGAAGTATGTCTTTAGGAAATATGGACAGAAATTTTCCTTTAGCTATATTATTTCTGATCTCAAATTTTTTAATAGAAATAAAACTGAATATATAGACATTTATAAAAACATTAACTGTGGAATGTGAAGCTTTTTGAAAAGAACAGATAAACTGAATATTCTTCTCAGACCCTGATTTCACTTTTGGAAAGACATATGTCACTCCATCTCCCTGTCAGAGGGTTTTTGATTAGTCTGTCCCCAACCTTGCTGATACTTCTGCAAATAATGCTTGATGGTCTGGTTCATCCTGGAATCTACTCTAGGGGTTCTCCTCATGGACTAGAGCCAAATCAGGATGTACACTGCCATCAGCCTGGGACAGTTGAGGATGTGTCTGCTTCCTCTTCTTGGGTTCAGGAACCAGAAGTAACATTGAGTGTGTTAATGAAAGTAGAGTACTGCCTAGAGTGCCGGGACTTTTGTGTCCCAACTGAAACTTACAGGAAGCTCCTCATGGCTTAACCTTATTGAATTCAGGCCTGTTGACCCAGTGATAGCCCGCCTTTCCAGGGAGAGAAACTTGGTGGTGTTTTAGTGAAATATTTCATATATGTATCTAATTATGAGGCGTATCTTAACCATTGGTGTGTCTGCCGCAGGTTGGAAGTAATGTAGTGCAAGAATAGTTGAAGTATCTGCATACCATCCTTAAATCCATTCCATATCCTATAACTCCTACCACCTTCAGCACTTTTCTGAATTTGGTTAGTATTGATCTCAGGTCTTACTAGTTTTTCAGTAATATTTTACATTTTACATATATTTCTCTGTGTTTGTGTGTGTGTGTATGTAACATTGTTTTGCTAGTATATCAGTGGGAACTCATGTTTTGCAACTTATTTTTGTCTTCAAATGCATGTTTTGATATTTATACATACTGATATATTTAGGTTTAGTTGATTAACTTTAATAAAGCTTAATATATGACCATAATGATATTGTCTCTTTTCCTGTTTATGATTTTCAGAATTTTAAGATCTTATTAAAATAATAACGCTTCCAAATTTTTAAAAATCAACTCTGGGCAGTAATTGAAATATGGTTAAATATACCCTATTTAAGTAACCAACTTGAGTTTTAATAAGAGTATACTCATATGTGTGACTCCTACAGTTCAGAGGACACACCCATTACCCAGAAGGGTTTCTCATTCCTGGGACTTCCCCCTCCCTCCCTCTTGGCCTCTGGCAACCAGTGATTTGCCTTCTGTAACTAGGTTAGACTGATTTTTTTAAAATACCATTTCACATAAATGGAGATACACACTATGTCCTCTTCCTTGTCTGTCTTTCATTCAGCCTGATTTTGAGATGCATCCGTGTTTTAGTATCTGTCAGTAAAACCTTCATTTTTTGATTAAGTCATATTTTATTGTATGTTTAGTACTACAGTTCTGTTTATCCATTCCCTTTCCAGTTTTTGATTGTTATGACCATAGCTGCAGTGAACTTCATGTGCATTTTAATGTAGGCCTATTTTTATTTCCCTTGGCTAAATACTTAAAAGTAAAGTTTCTCGGATTGTAGGATTAGCATACGTGATGTCAGACTTTTCTGAAGTGTTTGTTCCATTTTATATTTCTGTCACCAGTGTGTAAGAGATGTATTATTTCATGTGTTGGTCAATACTTGGTATTGTTACTTTTTTTTTTTTTTAAGATTTTATTTGTTTATTTGACACAGAGAGATCACAAGTAGGCAGAGAGGCAGGCAGAGAGAGAGAGAGGGAAAAAGGCTCCCTGCTGAGCAGAGAGCCTGATGCGGGACTCGATCCCAGGACCCTGAGATCATGACCTGAGCCGAAGGCAGAGGCTTAACCCACTGAGCCACCCAGGCGCCCCTGGTATTGTTACTTTTAATGTAGCCATAATAATGTGCATAGTGACATTTCCCTGTGCTTTTCATTTGCATGTCCCTGATAAATAATGATATTCATCTTTCACTTACTTATTGGCCATTTGTGTATCTTATTTTGTGAAGCATCTATTTAAATCATTTGCCCAGTTTGTAGGTTGTTTGGCTTATTTTTGAGTTATAAGGATTTTTTTTTTTTATTATTAAATATTTTCCCCCATTCTGTGCCTTTCCCCCCCTAGTTTGTGGCTTTTTAAAAGAAGTTTTTCATTTAGATAAAAGTCCAGCTTACCAGTTTTAATCTTTTCTAAGAGGTCTTAACAATAGTATCAGAGATTTTCCCCCTTGTTTTCTAAATGCCTTAGCTCTGTGTTAGGTATATGATCTCTTTGGAATATATGTATTTTTTTAATTTATTTGACAGACAGAGATCACAAGTAGGCAGAGAAGCAGGCAGAGAGAGAGGAAGGAAAGCAGGCTCCCTGCTGAGCAGAGAGCCCAGTGCGGGGCTTGATCCCAGGAACCTGAGACCATGACCTGAGCTGAAGGCAGAGGCTTTAACCCACTGAGCCACCCAGGCACCCTCTGTGTTGTCTGTATTCCCATATCTTTGTTAATAAGTCTTTAAATGAAACTGTAATTTCCAGCTTTGTTCTCTTGTCCAGAATTGTTTTGGCCCTTCCAAATCTTTTGCATTTCCATGTATATTTCAGAATGAGCTTGTCAGTTTCAAAAAAAAAAAAAACAACAACAACAAAGATTGCCTTAATATTGCTTTTAGGATTTTACTGATTCTGTATGTCTGGGAAAAGTTGACATTTTAATAATACTAACTTTTCTGACCGTGAATATGATCTGTCTCACCATTTAATTTGGTCTTTCTCTTGGCAGCATTTTGTATTGCCGGAGTAATATATATATATATATATAATATATAATATTATATATAATATTATTATATATATATATTATATATATAATATATACTGTTTTGTTAGGTTTATCCCTAAGTCTTTCTTGCTTTGAATGCTATTATAAGTAGTATTGTTTATATAATTTCACTTTTAGTAGTTTTTTGTTAATCTGTAGCAATATGGTTGATCCTTGTGTATTGACCTTGTTTCCTGTAATCTTGATAAACAAACATCGTCTTGGTAGCTTTTCTGATTCCATAAGATTTTCTAATTGTATATGATCATGTCGCCGTACTTGCTTCTTTCTTTTCAACCTTTATGCTGTTCACATCTTTTTTTTTTTTCCCTTTTCTGCATTCTCACCTCAATGCTGAAGAGAACTGGTGACAAAAGACACCCTTGCCTTACTCTCTGTCTTAGGGGACAGCACTGAGTCGTTTACCATATGTTTCATGTCAGCTGTGGGTTTCTCAGGTACAGAATGTTGTTTTTAATTCAAGTTTGCTCAGAGTTTTATCATGAATAAATGTTGATATTTTTTCTTTTGGCCTTTTAAGCACAAAATCTAATAATCGTATGATTCCTTCTGAAATTCTTCTGATGTGATTAATTACATTTACATATTTCTAAATGTTCAAACAACCTTGTATTTCTGTAAAAATCCACTTGGTTGTGATCTTTCATTTATATATTGCTGATTTGATTTGCAGATTCTGTGTTAAAGACGGTTGTGTCATTATTCATAAAGAATGACGTCTGTATGATCTGTGCTGGTTGCCCCTCTCGTTTTTACATTGGTAATTTGTTTTCTCTCTTTTCCTTCCTTGGTTTGGAGGAAATTTATCAGTTTTACTGATTATGTTTTTCAAAAGAATGAACTTTTGGTTTCACTGATTTTTCTCTGTGCTTTTTCTATTTCATTGACTTATGTTCACTTCTCTACTATTTTTATCTTTTCATTCACTATGAGGTTGGTTCTTTTTTTAACTTCATAAAATGAAAGCTGGGTTTTCATTGGCTTTAATAATGTTTTCATTTTAATTATAAGTTTTTTAAAGTTCTGAATTTCACTCCAGGATCTAGAAATTCTGGGAAGTTATGTGTTCATTTTCATTTAGTTAAAAATATTTTCTAATTTACCTTAAGGTCTCTCCACCCACCCTACCATGAGATACTTAGAAAAACATGTGTGATTTCTAAATATTTGGAATTTTTTTCAGATACTCTTTTCATTTCTAACTTGTTTGGTGTTCAGAGAATATAATCTTTATGGTTTTCCTTAAGTTTATCTTTCTTGGTGAATGTTCCATGTGAACTTGGAAAGACTGTATTCTGCTGTTACTGCACAAGATGTTCTAAAATGTGAGTTGGTTGATAATGTTTTGCAGCTTATACATACTCAAGCTTCATTTCCCTTTCAGTTTTATCAATTCCTGAGAAAGGTATGTTGAAGTTTCCAGGTGTAATTGTGATTTTGTGTTTTTTTGTTGTCAGTTTCTCACATAACGAAGCTCTTATTTTAGGTACAGTTGCATTAAGATTGTTGCATCTTCTTTCTCATTGTGAAATTTTCCTCTTTATTTCTGGTGAAATTCCTTTTCCTGAAATCTACTTATTTTTACATTAGTATAACTACTTCAGCTTCTTAAGATTATTGTTTGTATGGTATATCTAATTCCATCTTTCTGTAGTTTTATATTTCTCTTTTAATTTAAAGTGAATTTTTTTTATAGGATAGAGTTGACTCTTGATTTCTTATCCTTTCTGATAATCGCTAGTTTCTATTTTAATGCTTTTATTTGGAGCAAGTTCTGAGGTGAACTACCATCTTGCTATTTTTTTAAATTGAAATACTTCTTTTTATGAGATGACTATAGATTCCAGTGCACTTTTAAAAAACGATATTTGCAAGTCCTGGGAACACTTTACCCAGTTTTCACTAATGGTAACATTTTGCAAAACTGTTGTATAAATATCATATCCAGGATATTGGCATTGATAAAATTTTGGGCCTTAGAAAGATTTCTCCAGTTTTTCTTCTTTTCATTTGTTTTCATACATTTAGTACAGTACAACTTTGTCACTTGTGTAGGTTTTGTGTATCTGCCCCTATAGTCAAAATACTCTTTAGTTCCATTATCATAAGGACCTCCACTGTTGCCCTTTTATAACCACAGCCTCTTCACTCCTGTGTGCTCTGCCACTGTCAGTTCAAATGTTACATAGATTTGTATGTATGTCACTTTGGGATTAGTTTCTTTCCCTCGACATAACACCTTGAATATTCATCTAAGTTATTGTATCAATGGTTCATTCCTTTTAGTTGCCGAGTAGTGTTCCATTTTATTTATTTATTTATTTATTTATTTATTTATTTATTTATTACAGTTTGTTTAATCATTTATTGATAGATCTGCGGTTTTGCAGTTTTTGGCTATTACAAATAAGCTGCTATGAATGCACTGTTTTGTCTTCCCAATAATAAATATAAATTCTTTCCCAAAAATAAATATAAATAATAATATAAATCATCTAGTTTCTCTGCATCTTCACCATCATTTGTGTTAGGACTATTTTTTTGTTTTAACAGTTCTGATAGGGGTGGCTTAGCTGGTTGAGGGTCTGTCTTCGGCTCAGGTCATGATCCTGGGGTCCTGGAATCGAGCCCCTGCATTGGGCTTCTTGTTCAGAGCCTGCTTCTCCCTCTCCCTTTGCCTTTCTACCTGCTTCTTGTGTGTGTGCACACTCTCATTCTTGTTCTCTCTCCCTGTCTGTTTCAAATAAATAAAATCTTGAAAAAACTCTGATAAGTATGTAGTAATAGCTTGTTGTCATTTTACCTTTTTTT